CTGTCAGCCCTATTACTATTACGATTACTATAATTAAAGGTCGTAACAGATCGTAATACTACTTCGTTATCAGAAAACCCCTGATTATCATACTATACTTACATTATCCTGGGTGCATTATTGTTAGTAGTATTAGTAGTATTATTATTACTGATTCCTAAATTTTTTTTCTATTTATTTATAATGAAATAAAAAATTATCTTTACATTCTTGTTAATTATATTATCAATTCAAAATAATTAATAGTAGTATTAAATATCTTTAATCATATACAGTATGTAGTTAATTCCACAATATAGACAAACCTTGCCACGGAGGATGAACGGTACACATAAATTTTATTTAAAATCCGTTGTGGCAAGATTACTAAATATAAATACTAATACTAATCTTGCCACAGCGGATTTTTACATGTGATATGCAAGAGTTTGATTATTATTATTATTAGTCGCGGGACATTGCAGATCAAGTGTCATTCAATATAAACGTTACACGAATAAAATTATTATCGTCCATAGATGTGATGGTGAAAGTCAATGGAGAAGTTATTAGTATGGGGCTGGGACGATGGAAACTTGCTTCAAAGGAGAAGTACATCAGGAAAATAAATCTCATGTAAACCTACGTAGGGTTTAAAACTGCATTATGCGGAAATGTTAACAGAATTACCAAAATATCGACATAATGCTGGCCAATTCTGAACCCTACGTAGGTTTATGTAAGATTTATTTTCCTGATGTAGGTCGTTCATTCAATTTGATTGAAGAATGAAAACGAATTGTACTTTGAACAGCCAAAGCTTTACTCATAACAGGACAAATTTGGCAAATCATTGTACTGAGATGACGAAGAGTTGCAATGTTGATGTTGCAAAGAAAAGAGCAGATAGTTCTGGATTGTTTAATTACTTCCATTTGAATTGATTAAGAGAAATAATTTGAGTTTATTTTATCCGTTAGCATTAGAAAGGTTTTATATTAATGTGTATAATAGATATCAATATGATTTTTTTTTCTCATTTATTGACAAAAAAATTTTACTATAGAGGAACCATGGATCCGAAGGTTCCTTTCATATTAAAAAAAAAATATTTTTTTCTTGTATAAATAGTTGGAATTCGCAAGTTATACTTTTTTAAAAAATAATTAAAATATAATAAATAAATAAACAACTACAGTCAAAGCTCGTTATAGTGGATCTCGCTATGGTGGACTTTTTTTATTTTCCCAATCCACTTTATAATAAAATTTGTTCGTTATAGTGGACTTCTTAATAAAATCTCTTTATTGTGTATGGTGGGACTTTTAAAAAATTTGATGTTATAGTGGAAATCATGTGATTTACGGCAATCTTTTACATTAATGGTTAAACTCTAAATAATGTGTGACTAACAAATTGAATTAATTGTATGCAACTTTTTTGATTTGTGCAACACTTGATTAATTTTTTTTTACAAACTGAAGAAGCAATAAGTTTAAAACAATTTTCTTCTACTGAAATTTCTGAACTACAAAATTCAATTGATGCATTAAACCTGAAAGATCCAATCACTGTAGAATGTTTTATTTGCATTGATGATAAAACACCAATGCAAGAACTAACAGATGAAGAAATTATTAGAGCAGTAGAGTCAAATCCTGAGGTTGACGATTCAGATGAAGAGGAAGAAGTGGAAATGATGGTTATTTCTGATAAAGAGGCAAATAATTTTACAATTAGCTATCAAGAATTAAAAATGATTAATGGTTTAAAATCAAAAATTCATAAACATGTCAGGATAATGCAAAACAACTTACACTAGACAGTTTTATTTAATAATAATTTATTTATTTTACTACGTATATATGTTATGCATGAATTTATTTGTGTTCCTAATAAAAAAAATAAAAAAAATAATCTCGTTATAGTGGACAAAAATGCCTGGAACCAAATTTCCACTATAACGAGCTTTGACTGTATTTTTTAATAGACTTATTATTATTATTTTATAGCTATATATATTGATGGAGAAGAAGCCTCCTACTTTTTATACAAAAAAAAAAGGTAAAATCATTCTAGCAAATATCTCTATATAAAAAATAAATAAATAATCAATTGTTATTTATGAAATATGTATGGCATTATAATCATAGATTTATTCAAAGAATTTATATCTATATTGAAGAGGGAGGAGAAAAAGAAAAGACTGCAGATTCTTCTTTATATTGTTGATTAAAACTTCCAATTCAAATTTAATTTGCTGAGGTTTTGGTATATCTTCATTCTCTATTTCGTTATTATCAGCCAAATTTGGAGATTTCTTCACTGACAATTTCCAATCCAATTGGTGCAGTAAGAATGAAATGTGACGGATACCAAAATTATTTAATTACAAAGACTAAGGTTGGCACCTAATTGATGAATCATTAAAAATAATACCATTTAAAAATTATGCTGCTATAATTGAGGAACCAGGAACACAGAAAAGTAAAACAAGTTAGTAATGGCGAATATTTTAAGTTCAATGATAAATTGGAAGATGGACCATGAAACTATATAGGTTACTGTCGCAGATGGATCAATTCTTATAGTAAAAGACCCCAAAAAGGTTACTATTAAAAAATGCATGACAACTTTATATCAAACCATGATTTTTGTTACTGACTTATCTATAGATTTGTCGGGAAGAGGATGAAAAGATGATAGATTAGTTAGTATTAGCAAGTCCGATGGTGTCGATCGGAAGAAATCAAAAAACTAGACATCCAGCTATTAATAAACAGAAGGAAAGTGAAAAAGACGAGAAATAATTTAAATGGTTCTTTTTATCTAAAACAAGAAATTTATTTATTTGTAATCGTAAATGTTGAAACATGATTGCCTATTTCTTTAGAATTGAACCAGGGTCCAATTCCAAACGCTGACTGACTTAAGTTTACATGTATCTATATTTTTCTACGTGGTAAGAAAATCTTATTATTTATGATCGGTGCAGCTTTTTCAATCTATCTTGCCAGACCCACAATTCCCACAATCGGAAAAAATTTTGACGATGGATCATCTACATTCATAATATTTGTATAACCGACTTCAGCCAATCGAACAAACCATCTTCCACGATGTCGACTTTGAATTCGTCATCGAATAACCTAATTTTAATAAAAATATTATCACATTATTATCATTGATAATAATTAATTATTATAGATTATTATTGTTATCATTTTTACCTATAGTATGGATCGTCGCTGTTGTCGTTATGGTTATCATCATCATTATTATCACCACCATTATCACACAGACTTTCTTCTCCTCCGCAACAAACTAAAGAGAGAGAGAATCAAAATAAAATAAAATCAATAAAATTCCCAAACAAAAATTAATGATAATATTACGGATAATAATAAAGATAGAAGAATGATCCTTACACTCGTTATCACATAAACCAATTGGACACGAGTTTACTTTATGATTAATAATTATTTGACAAATTATTACGAAAATAATAACAAATAATTTAAAGTAAGTTTTATTCATGTTGTAAATTGGTTTTTTTTTTTTTAATAAAATTATTTATCTTTTACGATGGCAAAAATGATGAATTATTTATACCAAAATTTTATATACATTGATATAAATATTAAATACGTCCATGGCCTTCCTTATTATTATCTGCAAAACACAATAAAAATTTATTTGAAGATTATTCTATTTCCTAAATAGAGTTGATGGATGATCTTTCATACGAAAATATTTGATCGAACCTTCTTCCACACGAGACAAGGAGTAATTTTGCTGTTTCAGAAGTTTGAAATGGTATTGGACTTTCAAAATTTCATTTTCGGAGTTTCAAAACAGTTTCAGTTTCTAAAAGGTTTCAAAATGGTTTCAGTTTCAAAGTTGGTGTTGATCGCCAAACTATTTTGGGGTCAAAGTTATACGTCAAATCAAAAGTCGAAACTAGTTTAGCTTTTGCGCAATGACTATTTTATGCTAAAAATAGGAGACAAGGGTATACTTTGTAAGTAAGTAAGTAAGTAACTATCTTTAACATATATAAAAGAAGAAAAGGTTCGTGTTACGATGCCCTACTAAATGTCGTAATTTTTGTGTAGATTTTTTATTATTATATTTTGTGTAATATTTCACCTTTTTTTGTACCCAATTTTGAAATGTTTGGTTGAATGATAAACGGTTATGGTCATTTTACGTCACAGTACCAATTGTTATCTGTTTGATTTGTGAAATTGAAAAACTTATCTGTTTTGGTTCAAAACGTTAGGGTTGAGCGAAACAGATATTTGACTGAAAGGAGATCGTGTTTCGCTTTAGATGTTTTTTGCGTGGTGTCGACCGCTGTCTACTGTTAGATCTTCGTCTTGCCCCGACGTTTCGGACCGTTCAAAATGACCAAAAACTGATGGTCTTGTCTTGGAACCTTTACCTCGGATCGTCAAAGGCTTGTCACACAACGTGTTAGTGATATTTTCTGGTCACGAGACCGGGATTAAAAACACTTTTACATTTTATTTGTTGTCATTATCGGTCAATTCAATGATCGATAAACAAACAATATGCACAAATTTTTTTTGATTGTGGATGATTCAGATAGGAAAAGTTTATTATCTGGATAAGAAAAATTTTATTTTTAGTTGAAATAATCTTTGCAAAAGATTTTTCTTTATTAAGAAAAAAAAGCTTAGTTGATTTTTCTTAATAATCGAAATTTGTAAATAATTTTTGAAGTTTATTCTTCTATAGCGATAGACTTGTAAAAAAAAATCCAATCGATCCAGTTGACCTTTAATCTGGGTTGAATAAATAAACATGAGGAAAAGATCAGGACAAAAAGATCTTTTTTTTTAATTAGGAAAAAAAGCTTAGTTGATTTTTTTCGCAATCAAAATTTATAAATAACTTTTGATCCACATGAGGGTTCTTCTTTGCAAAGGATCTTTATTAAATTTTGCTCAACGCAACAAATAAAAATATGGCCGGCCAATGTTGATGTTCCGAACGAATATACAGATACCTCGCATTTGAATGTAACGTATAAAGCCGAATTACATATAGAACACCATTTAAACACTACATATCCGACCCTCAAATTCGAATGCAACGTAAAAAGCAAAACCAATGCACCGTTTTGGGGGGTAGCGGGCCTATTTATATATCTTTTTGTGGTAATTTATTAGACTACTCGATCAATGCACCATCTGGCCACAAATAGTCTATTTTATTAAAATTGCATCATTGATCATGAATACATGATAGGATGCTAAGATACTTCACATCGTACTAAGTTTGATGCTCCGAATGAATATATGTGTATGTGATTTGGTCGTGTGATTTTATAATATTATGACGTCAGAATATCATTGCACTATAATGCTAATCTATATTTCACGAAACTCGCTGTTAACATCTTCATTTAAAGACTTGTTTTTCTTTGCGGAGAATTGAATGACAAATTTTTCGTACAACATATTTTTGATTTCCTTTTTCTCTAATAGGATTAGAACAATTTCATCGTTATCAAATTCTAGTGATCGATTTATCGTGATCCAAGGAATTTTTTGAAGATTTAAAAGTGATAAAAACAAAATTAAAACTTGCAAAATATGTACCAAAACCTATCTTATGTGTTATGTAAAGGTCGTTCTAAGTACCAATATTGATCGACCCATGTTGCTTCAAACTCAGATACCAAAGACAGCTCAAGCATATCGTTAATATTATTGCATATTACTATAACGCGTAGCTAACTTCCAAGTCAAAAATTCAAATTCTAAAAAACATCAATTTAACACAACTCATATGTATGTAAAGACAATTTGATTTTTTACATTTTATGAATGTAATAAATAATAAAAGAATGGTAAAAAAGAAGAGACATTTTCATTTAAAAGAAAATGCACAGGAAAAAATAAGTACTTCAAATTATAACATTTGTAAACTTCCCACGATAATTATTCTTCTTATATCATCGCAATATACATACAATGATATAATAATTCTTTATTCATCCCCGAAACACACATCTTTACATATTTTGGATTTTTTGATAATGCTTGTATCAAGTGTTTTTACTTGCATTTTTACTTATGTCAAGGGCTTTTACTTTAGTCAAATCGTCAAAATGGCCCTGGTGAAAAACTACCTTTAGTCGATACCTTAGTTGCATCAATTTCCTAATTCGTAATTAATTATTATTAATTTGTCCAATTGAAAAATGTATTTTAAAATACCTACAATAAAAATCATAATAAAGTAATTTTTGATTTCATAAAAAATATATATCCTAATGACTTTGGGAAAGTTCGTAACTGGTGACAATTATAGAGATAGATAGATATTTGATTAGTATTATTCTCTCTCTTTCTAGGCATCACACTTATATACGAATCGTTAATAGAATCGGATAATATATAAAAACATATATATTAAATGTGGATTAAAAATATATAAAATCCAATCATTTATATTTAAAAAGCGTGGTTCAAGAGTCAACGAAGCTTATAAAACACAACAAGATCACATATTTGGAATCTTCGCGATAAGAAAAACCCCGAATTACGACAAAATGTTATTAAAATTTTCAATTAGTGAAGAAAAATGAACACCGAGGTATAAAATATATGAGAAAATGACTTCACAAGAAAAAATGAAACGATGTTTCAAAATACGCTTCAACATTCAATTAGAATAGATCAAACACGGCGCATTTTTTGTTGTTTTATGTTAAATAACCTTCAACGAATAAATATACCTACCTTTCAGGATAAATAAAAGTTGTTCTATGGTCAAACAAATTCGCCTATTTGTCTTTTAAATTTTAATAGTAAATAAATAAATTCGTCGTAATTTCGCATGGATTTTATTGGAAAGTTAATATTAAGATGTTAACAGTCATTTATTTGTATATAGAAAGGAACATGTATATATTTTTGATAGTAATTTGCAAAAAGTAAAAAACACCAAAACATAAATTTTCTTCTTTTCAGATGTATACTTTCATCTTCACTCTCAATATACTTGTCAAGAGTTACTAAATCACTTGTACTTGGAGATATATCCCATTGTTATTCATTGCCTTTATTAAACCTGGAAGATTGATGCATTTTAATTCAATTATAAGTAATTTACAAACCCAAATCTATCATCTCCCTTTTACTTTGGTTTATTGCTGTCAATTACCAAACATAATTCTGGAGTTCAGTTACCTGGCAACAACAGTTCAGTAACTGTCTGCAACCTCTGATTGGTCAGCTACTTCAATCACTATAAACTAAATTTATTTTTATCAAAAAAAATTTTTTTAATTAAATAAAAATGGTGATAAAAAGTGATACTAATACTATTAAAAACAATTCTGTCATATCTCTTAAACGGTCAAAGTATTCTTTAATGGTATGAGCGTGCAATCCGAGTTACTTACTTATTAGTCAAGTTTTGATATCAACACACGTCTGGTTATTAATGTGGATTTGCACTTGGAGCGATTTTGCACTTGAAGAACTATTTCGGGATTAAATCACTGAATCGTAATTACACAAGAAGTGCGGATTCATGATTAAATTGATAAATATTAATTAAAGTGCAATGTTTGTAATTAGAGTACTACTAATTAATTTAATCGTATATAAGAAGCTTGTACAGTCGAACCCCTCGTTTCAACGAACTTCGTCCCAGTGAATTATAATTAAATTCACGTTTCAACGAATTTTTAAAAATCTTGTTACATATAAAAATTCGTTGAAACGCGATTAGTAATCTCGTTTCAACGAATTTTGAAATAAGGTCTGACTATAAAAAATTAAAATTTTTTTTTAAAAAACCGAAACCGAACAGTTCGGAACTTTGCCAATATTAATATGTCCCGCTTGCCTTTATATTTATTGGCATAAAAATCCTTTATTTCAAAATTTTATTTTGTCACTATATACGAGTAACAAAGTAACTTCATCAAGACGCTTTATTTTTAGAAAGGAATTTTTTCAGAGAAACCTCGCACACTCATATATATTGAGGTTGTTTATATTTTTTTTTAAGAAATTTAAATTGTATAATAAACTTAAAGGGTAGATTTTGTTATAGTAAATTTTGAAATAAATTGGGCAAACTCAAAGTTTAATTAATATTCAAATATTCAAATTATTCTTTTATTTAAAGCAAATCTGCCTCAAATGATAACATGTAGATACTCTAATTCTTGTCTTGATTTTTTTTTTTGAAAAAAACCAATTAATTAACTAATTATTTATTTATATGTTGTACTATATTTCTCCTAATTCGCGTGGTAGTGTGAAGCTTTGAATGAATCCTATTAGAGAAGTGAGGCTCATTACAATAAATACAAAATAATTGTTGAATGGAAAGTCCAAATTGTTTGTCAATGACCAAGACCATAAAGATCCACTTGATGCTGGACCAATAGTACGAACAAATGCTGCAGAAGCCTGACCTATTCCATTGACAGTACCGAGTATTTCATGACTAGCAGAATTATTAATCTGTCAGTGTATTTATAGGAAGGGAAAGATGAAGAGAAAAATGAATATAATCAATTAATCAATTATAGTGGTAAATAATAAATAATACCATTATCATTATTGATGTAAAAGAGATAACACATATAAACAATCTAATAGTTAATACAATCAATAATATAATCCAAGCAATTTCTTCTCCATCATCATCATACTTTGATTCAGGTGGTAGATCCATAAACGATTTTTTTAATTGATTCAATAAAGGAAAAAACAAATAACAAGGAACATAAGACATTAATACTATACGATATAATTTAATCAAATCTACTTTAGTTCTTAACCAAGGATAAATCAGAAATTGAACAACTAATTGAACAATTCCCATTAAAGCCAGACTTTGAGCCAGCTTTATTGACAAATAACCTAACCCTCCATCTTTAACTTCCGCAACCGCATATAAACTGTAAACTTCATCAAATGCTATTGTATGAAATGCAACTATTGCATAACTTGTTATACACCTAAATGTAACTGGTAAGATTTTGACTTTAGCTTTTGATTTTGATTCTGATTCTTTACCATTTTTTATAATAAAACTTTGCTTGTTGTTCATTTTGATGTTGGTGACATCATTCTTTGGCAAATCCTTTAGCAGATTCGAAGATGAAGGTGTTTCTGGATAATGTGAATCATCTTCAATATATGATTGCATAATGTTATTTCCTTTAGGTGATTGACTATAATTACTATTATTAGAATTAACATTTGCAGTAGCATCGTATGAGATTATTGAATTATTTCCATTCAAATTTTTTCTACTTGATATATCAACAACATCTTCAACATCAACATCTCTTTCTTCTCCCCCTTCTTCTTTTTGATGATTGTATGTATATCGTGTCTCGGGTAAATAAAAATATCCAATAATTAATCCAGTAAAACTAACAATTGAAGCAACAAAACAAGGAAGGAAATATGGAAATGATTTTAGGAAAGGACAATTGCCAAATATTTTTGGAAAATTATCAGCAGGATGTGATAAAAACCCACCAATTACAGGCCCTGATTTATATAATTAATATCTTTAATAATACTTTTTGAAAATTTCAAAAAAAAAATTTTTTTTAATAAAATCTTACCAACTATAACGTAATTAAAAAAAAAAAAAAAGAATAAATGATTAATATATATATATATATGTATATAACATAAACATAATTAATAGTTACTTATACAGCCCATTCCCCAACAAAATCCAAACAATGAAAATGCTTTTGCTTGATTAGTTTTATCAGTTAGTTCACCCAACATACTTTTTGCAACACCAACATTACCTATAAAAAATATATATATAATAATGTCATTTATAAATGTGCATTAAAAAAAATGAACATCTTCATATTTACCATTCAGCATTCCACAAGTTGAACGAGAAGCAATAGCCCAAAGTAAATTCTTACTAAGACCAAACATAAAGCAAGTCACCATATTTCCAAATAATCCAAATAAAAGGATTGGACGTCTACCAAATTTATCAGACATGTGACCCCAAAATATTGAAAAACAGAATTGTGCAAAGAAAAAAGATGATGCTAATCAGAATGAGAATGGACTGACGAATGAATATAATGATGATATTTGGATGATTAAAGATGATTGTGATATGTGGTTTTTTTTTGTTACAATCACCTATTAATCCTGCGTAAAAACCAATTTCTTTATCATCATCACTTACACCAAAATCACGAACCTAATGAAAATAAAAATTATTGATTATTTTCTAATTGTTTCTGAACAAAAAAGTTTTAGAGTTCTAAAAAAATTACCATGAAATAAATAAAAGGTAATAAAATAGTTGAATTAAAAGGCTCACTAATAATCACTATACTTAATATAAGTAATGGTAATTTGGGTAAAGGTGTTTCCGCATATTTTCTTGATTTGTTATCATCATTATTATTTATTGTTGATTTTGGTTGAATTAATAAAGTTCTTTCAGAGTTTAGATTTAATTCATCATCATCATCATCATCATCATCATCATTGTTTATTAAATTATTTTGATCAAATTTTTGATCATGATAATTAAAAATTTTTTTGGCACCCATTAATTTTAAAGAAAAAAATTTTTTTTAAAAATTTTAATAACAAAAATAAAAATCTTTTAAAAATAAGGATTACAGTTTTAATTGTTTGTTTACTATCATACATTACCACATCTAAGCCACTCATTAATTAATTTTATTATGATATCAAAAAGTCATTTACAAATCGGTTACCATTCGAACACATTATTAATTATTAATATAGAGAAAATTGAAAATTTACTAAAAAAACATTGCAGATATTTTTTCAAGTCGGGAATTAATGTCGATCAAATTTTGGTGACGCCTCTATATATATATGTATTATCGGCGACCCCATCTACGTATATTAAATTACATGTGTGATACTAACTTTTTTAAATCAGTTTAAAAGTCATTTAATTGTATACTTGCTTTGTTCCACTATATAAAAATTTCGCCATGGGTTAAAAAGGTTCAAAGGATACGTGGAAATTCAAAATTCTTATACTTTTTATGTCCGAATAAATCCGAATGAATACAAACACTACTTATTGGTTGGAAGGCAGGTGTACAAAGTAGTTTAGTTCTCCAGCTGACTGCCTTTGTACATTTAGGATGTATATTTACAATATTAAAAAAATAGATTTCTTCTTTGCTTCTAATAAAACTCCACGGACATCAACTGTCATAAGTTTAAACAACAATCTGTTCTTGGTTTTACACCTAATAGTAAAGGCCTAATGATAGTAAGAATATGTATTTTTTTAATAGAGTGAAAGCTACTATTTGATTTCCTTTGATTCTAGTAAAAGCCCAAGAAACTACTTTTTTTCTATTTTACACATTTTTTTGACGATTTTAAAATTATAGTTAGTTACACTGCATAATTTCAAGATAGTCACAGAACTTCTATCATGCTTTTTTAGATCCATTTTTATAGTGATAGTTGGTTACTTTATTATTAATAAAAATGAGTTATAATTTAATGTTTAGATCAAAAAGATTTACAACACTCTTTTTTCCATTTTATAAGGCTTCAATAACGTCAAAAATAACATCAATTCCGTTATGTGATTTCCACCAAGTTACTAATAATTCAAAATATATAAAGTTGAAGTATACTTGTTTCTACAATAGTAGTAATTCCAATGTTTCATTACTATTAGCTAATAGTAATAAAACCATCTTTAAAATAAATAAAAAAAATAACGCAAGACATTATTACAAAGTACCTAATGATTATTCACGCATACAATTTCCTCAAAAAATACCACCACCATACCCAAAACATTCTCAATATCAAAGATTTTCCAATTCTATACCGTTTTATCAAAAAAGGATATTTTGGATTTATACTGGAGCAGTTGGCGGACTCACTAGTGTATATTATGTAAGTCATTTAGAGAAGGTGCCTATAACTAACAGACGACGTTTTATGGATGTGAGTCCAAAACAAGAAGAAAAATTATCACAACAAGCCTATCATGAAGTAATGGAAAAATATTCAAATAAAATATTACCATTGTGGGATAGGCGTACCAAGTTTGTAAGGCAGGTAGCTCAAGATCTAGTAAAAGTTAGTGGAATGAATGGTGTGTGTGTATATATATATAAAAGATTGATGGTTCAATAATTAGAAATTTATTTTTTAATAATTTATTTTTTTAAAAATCAATAGATTTAAATTGGGAATTTTATGTGATTGATTCACCAGAGAAAAACGCATTTGTTTTACCTGGTGGAAAAGTTTTTGTTTTTACTGGAATATTACCAATTGTTAAAAATGAAGATGGTTTAGCAGCAGTATTAGGGCATGAGGTTTAATTTTAAATTTCAGAAATCTTTTTTTTTTTTTTTTTCTAGAATAATCATATTATTAAATACTTTATATTTTCTATTATTTTATAAAGATTGGACATCAAATTGCAAGACATAGTGCTGAAAAACTTTCTTTCATAAAAGTTGTAATTTTAGGACAATTGTTTCTTAGTCTATTTATGGACCCTGGATTCATTGGTAGATTGTTTTTTGAACTTGGCTTAATGTATGTAACTATTTATAGTTATATATTATACTATGATATGTATCTCGATCTGCTTGATTTAATAGAACATCTATTCTAATTAAAAAATAGGATGCCATTTTCTCGTAAATGTGAAGTAGAAGCAGATTACATAGGGTTGTTACTTATGTCACATGCATGTTATAATCCAGAAGAAGCAGTCAAGTTGTGGGAAAGAATGGGCATTGCGCAAAAGAATGCACCACCACAATTCTTAAGTACACATCCTAACAATAAAACCAGAATCAAAAAGATTCAGGAATGGATGCCTGAAGCATTGCAAAAAAGAGCAGAGAGTGATTGTGTACATGAATTTGAAGGATTTAAAGCTGCCACAGATTATTTCAAACCTCAATGGGTTAATTGGTAATATTATTATAGATGTATGATTTTTTTTTTTCCAAATATTATTAAAATTGCAAAGATAAAAAAATTTTTAAATAAAATTTCATCCAATCCTTTAATGCATGTAAACCATCAATTAATTTATTAAAGTTTAATTTATCACATACTTCAAAGAAGTCTGAAAATTTATAATAATTCCATTGACATATAACTTTTTAAAATAAATATAATTCTATGTTAATATTTTGATTTATATTCTTACGTTAAAAGAACTTCTTTTTCAAATGAAATCAGATCTTTTAAAAGTTTTAACTTGATCCTGGTCTGGTCCAGTTCTAATTTTTAGATCATAAAAACTCGATTCATTTTTAATAGTTCTGTTAAATCATTTAGTATTTATATAAAAACGTGTTTTTACCAATTAGTACTTCGAGTTTTTTTTTGTTAATTCATACGTACCAATATTGACCATCATATTACTATGTGTGTTTCAAATTCAGATGCTCAAGCACATTATTAATATTATTGTGCATTACTATTACGAGTAGTTGACCAAAGTCAAAAGTTTCGTCACACAAATTTGCTAATATGGTTGTTAAATACTGTGTTAAAATACTCCAAAGATGAAATACAGTCAAACCTTGTCACAGCAGACTATAATAATAACTAAATTCTTGTCACATATAAAATCATATAAAAATCCATTGTGGCAAGATTAGTAATCTTGCCACAACAGATTTTAAATAGAATTTTCTTATGCTCCTGTTCATCTGCTGTGACAAGGTTTGACTGTATGTTTAAAATGTTTTGGGTCTAGTTTATTGTTACCAAAATGCGACCTCAAGATTTTTTCAGCACGTCCGAGTATGTATAAAATTTATTTTTTTAGTTTTTTGAATCATCATCTTTCTTGTTGGAAGTTCTTATAATAATAGATGTCTTAAAGTATTATAAACTTTTTCAACAAGTAAATTATTATCTGGTTCGTCCGATGATACTATTATATCAGAAAATAAACATGGTGGCTCAGAAGTGGAATTAAGCAACAATAAAAAAGATGACATAAAAAAGAAAATTCTGAGAAAACTGGAAAGTTGGTGAATCGTGGTTGAAGTAAATTGTAAAGATGGGTGCCGCAATTAAGGTGCCGCAACTCTCGATGTTGCAACATTTAAAAAAAAACTTAATGTCTGCAATGTCCGCAATTAACAACCTTTGCACTTGTCTGCAATTGACCACAATAATTTATTAATAACAATTGGAAAAAAAGAAACATATATATTTTATATAAATTCTTTAGTGGTTATAAACTGATAAATATATATGCGCACGCTTTTTAGAATCAATAACTCATGTTAAAATAATTTATAAATATACCATCTATACATGACCCAGGGAATTTAAAATGCATTACATAATTTCGGAATAGTCGTTTTAAACACAGGGTGTAATATCAAAACTACTATGTAAAGATAAAATTGGTAGGAAAGGTAATGATTTCGCTGAAGTCTTGTGGTTGTGTTGTTTGTAAATCAAGATCATCGTATTTTAAAACAGCTTTATCAGATAATTGGGTAAAAAGATCTGATGAAGGTATTATTTTATTTCAAAAAGAAAATATTTCTCCAAAAA